TAATATTTTCAATACAGCATAACCAAATGTGTTTCATTCTGGAACATAACAAGGACTTAATATTTGGTAACTCATTAATTCATAAAACTTAAGGATCAGGAACAACAGTTAGCATAATGGCTATGTCGCTGAACTCCCATGCAGTCGACTGCAATTCGAGTCCTGGACCCCGTGGCTTAAACTCATGCCAGGTGCATGTGCGTGTGTGCCCAAGATCCTGAGAGGAGAATCAAAGAGAAGGGATTGTGGCATGGCCATCCTCCTTGGGGATGATTTCTCGCTTTTTGTCTCTCTGTCTTACTCTGTCTTTCTGACGATTGCACGTGCCCTATAGCAAATAAGCCTCTAAAAAAACCCTTTATGATCAAAAAACTTGATTAAAATTCTGTTAGAGCTTGGCAGGCATATGACACCCTTCCTGGAGCTCAGTTATGGCTGTATATGGAGAAGAGAGGCCTCCTTCACTATGCTGGTGGAGAGACTTTGGGGGAAACCTTACTCATCACAGAATGCAGCTAGGAATAAAAGAAAAGGCCTGATAGGTTCCACTGACATTGAAGGGGTGGAATCAGGCAGCCCGGAGACTGATGTGTCATGCATTTTAGTTGGGTATACTAGTGAGGTTGTATGCCAGTCACAATAAATGGACCCTCACACTCTCTCTTAAATTCCCAGGACTGAGTAGCCACAAACCCCATAGCCATGACCAGCCTGAAGACTCTAGACTGGAAAGAGTTGGGTAATTGTGTGATGCGCAGATCATTCATTCCCAAGGAAGAGCGCATTCAAAGAAGGAGCAGGCTTTAGAAGTAGCATGAATACTCAGTTTCTAATATTTCCAAATAGTCCACCCTGAAGAAAACTATGATGGAAATATCAGTTTGAGGGACCAGCAATTAGCGTAATGGCTATGTTGCTGGACTCCCATGTAGTTGACCACAGTTCGCGTCCCGGATTCAGTGGCTTAAAACTCACACCGGGTGTGTGTGCATGCGTGCTCAAGATCCCAGGAGGAGAATGGAGGAGAAGGGATTGCGGCGTGGTCATCCCCCCGGGGGGGTGATTTCTCGCTTTCTGTCTCTCTATCTCTCTCTGTCTGGCTGGCTGTCTGGCAAGTGCACGCACCGTATAGCAAAAACCTCTCCAAAAAAAAAGAAATATCAGTTTGATCCAAATCTCTGTAGACATGTATTTATGGATTTAGATATCAATTTGGGACACATTAACATAACAGTGATGTGATTGTGAGTGATTTCCCTACTTGTTTATTTCTCCCTAGCTATATTTTTGGTAAATTTTCTAGGGAAGAAAATGAGAGAAATCCTTGGACTATGATTAAATATTTAGTAATTATCCCGTATTACACACCCCTCAGGAAATATATTCTAGAAGAAAGAAATGTAACTATAGATCATAAAATATGAAAATATGTAAATAATTTATTAAATATACTCAGAAATATTACATAACTATTGGGTTGTCAGAAAAGTCATCATGGGACCAGCAGTTAGTGTAATGGCTATGTTGCTGGACTCCCATGTAGTGGGCTGTGGTTCTAGTCCTGGATCCAGTGGCTTAAATTCACACCGGGCACGTGTACATGCACGCCCAAGATCTCGAGAGGAGAATGGAGGATAATGGATTGTGGCGTGGCCCTCCCCACTGGGGGGTGATTTCTAGCTTTCTGTCTCTCTGTCGCTGGTGAGCACATGCACCCTATAGCAAAAACCTCTCTTTAAAAAAAAAAGGCCATCCTATAGCAAAAACCTCTCTTTAAAAAAAAAAAAAAAGAAAGAAAAGTCATCATATATTTTTAGGGACCAGCAGTTAGCATAATGGCTTTGTCACTGGACTACCACATAGTCGACCATGGTTCGAGTCTCGGACCCGGTAGCTTAAACTCACGCCGGGCACGTGTGCGTGTGTGCCCAAGATCCCAAGAGGAGAAGGGAAGAGAAGGGATTGCGGCAATGGCCATCCCCCCAGGGGGTGATTTCTCACTTTCTGTCTCTCTCTGTCTCTCTGGCGAGCGCACACACCCTATAGCAAAATCATCTACAAAAAAAAGGCCATCATATATTTTTGTATAGAAAAAAATATGTCAGGACTTTTCTGACAACCCAATATAATAGTCCTGCCATAAGAATGGTTGGAAAATTTGCATAAACTCTATATTTTCAATACAGCATAACCAAATGTGTTTTGTTCTGGAACATAACAAGGACTTAATATTTGGTAACTCATTAACTCAATTCCTCACATCGCTAACTAACTGTAATGGTTAATTTCATATGTCAGTTATGGTTAGTGGACTTACTAGATTACCCTCCACAATATGGATGGGCATCATCCAAACCAATGAGGGCTAGATGTGAACAAAAGGATTGAGGAATTTGCCTTTTCCTGCCACACTGCTTGAACTGGGCCATCTCACTGTACCTTCTCCTGCTATTGGATGGGGGTTTATACTAATGGCTCTACTGGTTCTCAGATCTTCACACTCAGACTAAATTACACCACTAGCTTTCCTAGGGTATCCACCTTACAAATAGTAGATCATGAAAATTCCCAGTTCCCATAATTGTTTAATGCAGTTCCTCAGAAGAATACTGTATTTATCCATTTATGTTGGTTGTGTTTCCCTGGGGAATGCTGACTAACATGCTACAGAAAGTATACACTACTGTATGATAGATAGGACCTGGTAAAAATTATATGCAAAGACTGGACAGTGTTTCAGCTAAAACCTGTTTCGAGACTGATCCACATAAGAAGTCTTTGGATTCATGTACACACACCTCCAAGAATACCAAACAGGTGTGTGCCCATGATTCAGGGCAGCTAAAGTTGGAAGTAGACAGGTAGTCTTTCTCTCTTTCTGTCTGTCTTGCTCATGGAAGAAACGAAGTGGAGTTTATTTTTTTAAAATCAATACACATTATGATTAGAGTTGATGAATAAAATGAACAGGCATTTTGTTAAAATGGTATAGTTTATTTCAAATGTATAATAGCTTAATAGTTATGATTGCAAATCGTGTAATGAACTTAAAAGTCAGAAGCAAGGCGATATGTCACTGCTTATACTTAACGTGGTTCTGGACGTTCTGTCTAGCACATTTAGGAAGAGAAAGAAAGAGTATAACAATTGCAAGTGTTACCATTATTTCCTGAAACTGTTTGTTTACCTAGAAAAGTACTTATAAACTATAACTAAGATATCGAAAAATAAACGCTTGAAATCAAAGACTTTTATACAATAAAGGATATAACTATTTTGTGGTGCTAATAGCCACAAGAACAAAATATGGAAATAAGAATATTCAGGGGCAAAGGACAGAGTGAAAAGGGACTAGCATTAAATAGATTTTTAAAGAGGTTTTTGCTATAGGGCATGGCCACTCACTAGAAAGAGAGAGACAGACAGACAGAATGTGAGAAATCACCCCCCAGGGGGGTTGGCCATGCCACAGTCCTTTCTGCTGCAGTCCCCTCTTGGGATCTTAGCACATGCGCACATGCACCCAGTGTGAATTTAAGCCACCATGTTCAGGTCTTGAACAGTGGTTGACTATGTGGGAGTCCAGAGAAAGCATTATGCCATCTGCTGTGCCTTGCTTTAAGTAGATTTTCAAACATGCCCCCTAAACCACAATAATTAAAGCAATTTAATACTGAACTCACAGTATGAACTCACAGACCAGATTTTTAAATTGGTAAGGACAGTCTCATTGAGAGCTAAGAGTTCAATACAGTTCTTTCTTGAACAAAGTAGGGGTTAGTTATTCTGACCCCTGCGTTTGAAAATCTTCGTATAACTTTTGGCTCATCCGAAACACTAACAGCTTACTGTTGACCAGAAGCCTTACTGACAAGTAAACATTTGATTAACAAATATTTTGTATGTGATTGTATTATATATTATTTCAATAAAGTAAGCTAGAGAAAAGAACATCACAAGGAGATGTTCTTTTACAGTACTGAAAAAAAAACTCCAGATATAAGCAGACCCATAAAGTTGAAGCCCATATTGTTCAAAGGTCACACATGTACAAATATTTCTCTTTATAGGCCTCTTTTTACCCCAAGGTGCAAGAACGATCAACTCCTTACTTTAAGGATTGGGGAAAGAGATATCACAAGCCTGATTATTATTTTAGGCTGCCTACAGTACCTCCCATGCAATATTCCTCATCCTGGATTCAGTGCAAGAGTCCTGAGGGACAGTCCCCAAGACAAGCTAGGGGGTTACAGGCTCATAGGTGTCCCCATATCACCTCTGACTGGGAGAAAGTGAGAAAAGCAAAATTTCTCACTTCAGGAGTATTCACCTAATCCATGATCAAATTACACAATTCATTTTAAATCTAATCAGCTTTTCCCTCAACCTAAAATCTCTAAAATTTAAACAATTGATTAATATTCTGATTTTTGACAGCAAAACTTCTTCCAAATAAGATAATTATCTTGTCCATTTAACAAACTTAACATTTGTTAAGTTCCCATTGTATTTTAGCTGTTGTGCTACCCGCTAGGAATATAGCAGCACATACAAGGGACATTTCCTTTTTATTTCAGGATTTATGCTAATGTAATAGAAATCAAAAAGACCAGCTATTTGAGGTTTACTAAAATGAAGATGAATTCCTGTCCCGAGAGCCAGAGAGAATTTCTTATAAGATATAAAGGTGGTTTTTCTCCTGCTGTGAACAAATCAATTAGTAGAATTTAGTTATTTTGTCAATAGTGGAAAGATTTCAAACTGAGATGTACATTATTATCTGTTCTGTCAAAATATACAAACTCTGTTCAAACATTAGCTTATTAAATTGGAATCAGACACCAATGTAATTTGATAACCATAGAAAGCTTTAAAAAAGCAAGCAACCATAGCATGGATTCCAGATAATGGGTGCTAACAATAATTTCAATTACAAGAAATTGAGCCAGCAAAAGTTTGTATTTCATATTATATTCATGTTTAACAACAAAATGTTCACATTAAAGTAGAGAAAAAAAAAAAAAGACAGCACAGTATTACTGTTTTTCTTCGCCTAAGAAAGGTGGCCTCAGAGAGGGAGTTCCTAGATATATAGTCAAGTTCCTGAAATCCCCCATCAGAGATGTCTCGTGTAAAAGAAAGGCCTAACAGGGAAACTGAAGGAGCCAGCAGGATACCTCCATATGAGGGAGCTCTTGGCAACGTTTAGAAAACTCACACTTCCACTCTCAAAATCAAGAAATACACCAACCTGGCCCAGGGGTTTCTTTATGTAGTGACAAATCATTGGGGAGGTGGTCAAGAGATTGCAACGCTTATCGTCCTTCACACACAAAAGGAGAAATGCATCTTCAGAATCAGATATTGAGCCACTGCTCCTTGTCCAGGAATCCTTACAGACCCCTAGAGCCCAGTCCCAAGAGTTGTCCACGTCCAGCTCCCAGTAGTGTTTCCCAGCGCTGAATCTCTGGGTACCCCACGTGGCTAAATAGTGGGATCTGTCAGAATTCACAGATGTGCCTTGATGGTCGTGCCTGAACAAACTTCGCACATCAAACAGGCTGATACTGTGACTGGGTATTTCATCACTGAAGGAAATCTCTACTGTAGAAAGAGAATATTCTAGTTAAAATTGGTTTTTCAGCTTCTATAACCTGAGAAAGTCTACCTAGAGTCTAACCAGAAAAAGGCAGATCAAAATTAGAGGGATAGTACTTCGAGAAGTATGAGTAAATCTGCAAATAAACAAGCACCTGATCATAATGAATAAAATTCCCCCCAAATTCAGGGAGTATAAAGCTTACTTCTCTTGGTTACTTTTCTTGGCACCTGAATATCAGAAGTCCTGAGTACATTACCAAGTTACTAGCAATATAACTATCTCCACTCTGCTTTTTTGGTGGAGATATATATTAGCACTCCATCTGAGTGCTAATCTTTTTTCTGTTCCATAAACCGTCCAGGTTTAGCCCATCATGTACTTCTATGTATTGCCTCATGACCCAACAACTTGTTTTATTGTTCGCAAGTTATTTTCTATATTTAGTTGTTTTCTGCATTTAGTTGTTTTCTGAATTTACTTTTTTTGTGTTTGTGTACTTCTTCTGATAATACCAAGTAACATACATTAAAATTTAATTACCAAGAAATATTAAGTTAAATCTTCTAAAAGTATAAAATCAATAACCCTGTCACCATAGTGAGCCACACTGATAATGGAAATATCTTGATTTAATTTAGTATGACAGTGAATATCTGACCTTGAGAACATTTCTAGGGCTCAAGGAGCTGCTTATGGGATAACTTCCTTTTCCCCATTTTATGAGTAATTTATGATGGGTTAGAAACATGTTTATAATTACAACAGCTTTCATTTACTTTTCCAAATTATTGGAGGGATTATATCACTAAATATAATTCTAAACCTATCTTGCAGGTTGATTCCTTCTACTATTGGGTCATCAGGAAAGTCATGACATATTTTTGCATAGCAAAATAGAAAACTTCATCGCGACTTCCCCATGACCAAACAGATGAAAGATTAATAAATAGGGAGAATGTCCCATAGAAAGCCATTACCAAAGGACACTTTGTAGGGTGCCACCAATGAGCTGACGCTCACCTCGGAAGCAGTTGAGCCTGTCTCTCAGTCCAGTGATGGGCTGAGCACTGAGCTCCGGGTTCACAGGCTGGGGAATGAGCAGCTGCACAGATTTGCTCCTGCAAGGAAAAAGAGGCAGTGGATCTTTTTTGTGCCAAAGAATTCATCAGTGTTTAAGAATAAGTATAATTCAATTCAAATTAATTATCAAGCCAGCCCTGTGGCATTATGTTAAGAGAATCAGATCTCACATAGCTAACTGCATGGTTGCTTTAAATCCTGGGCCCAGTGACTTGACAAACACACTGTTCTCATGTGCCTGCATTCCCTCTCCCCCACTGTTTTCTCTGGTAAGTATGTGTCCCCATCTGACAAACTGAACAAAAAAATTCATCAAAACCCTTTGCTGATACTGTAGTATATCTCTACAATTGTGGAATAGAATTGTGTCATTAATTTTTAAGAAAAAAATTCGTTATAGGGTGTGTGTACTCCCTGGAGAAAGAAAGAGAGAGAGAAGAAAAATAAGAAAGTTTCTCCTATAGGGGATGACCATGTCACAATCCCTTTTCCTCCATTTTTCCTTTTGGGATTTCGGGAATGCATGCACATGCACCCAGTATTTTTCCCCTCTTTTCCTTTTCCCCCAAGTTCCCAAATCTGGGACTCAAACCCACAGTTGGCCATGTGGGGTTTAGTGCCCTAACCATCAAGCCACCAGCTGGTCCAAAATGTGTCATCCTTAGAAAATATTTCTTACTCCTTTGCCTGTTTTTCACGTGCTAGCTGGGAAAAAGTAATACACACATCTCAATATGTTTTTATAAACTGAAATGTAAAATCATAGACAGCTACCTTCTAGAAACTTCACTGTTGAGCCCAGCAGTATATACACACTTCAACCAAAAGAAGAAACATACTAATTTTTAAAAATTTTTCACTGTAAAGCTGTTTTTTATATTTTTAAATTTATTTTTATTTCTATTTCTTTTATACACTCAATCATGGAAAAATACTAATTTTTGAGGAAGGGAAACAGGAATTAATACTCAGTAAAGCAAAAACATATGCACACATAAACAAGTGAGATAATCTGTATAACCAATTTGACTCCACTTGGTTAAAAACATCTTAACCTCTTTCATGGATCTCATGGTGTCCTGGTTTGCACTGAAGTAAAACCTACCTTATCAATATGTCTCCCAAATCCTGCAAAGAAAAGGGAAGGGAAAAAGAAAAAAAAGCTTAGGCTTTTCAGAAATTGGATAATGTTTGGATTTGGGAAAGGTCTGGATTGTACCAATAATCTCCAACTACTCTCACCCGTACCCCTAGTCTGTCTTGTAAATTCATTTTCTTTTACCACTCTAAAAGTATTTCTAGTACAACATGTTGACATTATCGAAATTTTAATGACGTCAGACCCTGGCAGTAAGAAGAGAGAAAGAAAAGGTACTGACTTCACTGCTATGACCATCATCTGACTACAAAAATGTCGTTCCCAGAGCTTGTCTTTAAAGGGTAGTATGCTATAAATCAAGAACACTTTGAATTTAGGACAAAGGCAAAGAAGAAATGTTCATTTCCCCAAATTGTGGTGTACTGCCCAGTTGGATACAAAATGGAATGACATCAAGTAAGTGGTTCCTTTCTGGTTTCTAGAAAAGTGAGCTACATACAAAAGGAGAATTTTTAGAAAGGAATACCCTCTGGGGAATCAGCAGGGTTTCACAGTTTGCTATGTGCAGTGAGGCTACAAGCTACAGCCTACCTCCATTATGTCCAATTGGGAAACATGCCCACTATAGGAGCTGGAGGTACAGACATAAATGAGTATCATTGGTATCACATAATTGGTGTCGTAAAAGGTATGGACAGCAAATAATATCCAACATATTTGGAGGCATGACCACAGTTCTTACCTGGAGCAACTCTACATCTGGTTTATAGCACATTTTCCTCAGCTCTTCATATGTTTTTCTGAGGTGCTTTTTTTTTCGCTCCATTTTGGCTTTACTTATCTCAAGTTGCAGCAAAATCTCTTCACGTTCCTTTTTCAGCATTTCTAGATGTTGTTGCTCTTCCTCATGGAGAACAGGATGCAGATCCCTATATTCAGCTCTGTTCATCTGAGCCCAGTAAGCATCCCTGGTCATCTCTGCCCGGCGATACACGTAACACTGTGGCAACATGGGTGTCCTTGATCACAAACCCAGGCCGACTTCTTCATCTCTACTGAAGCTTCATCCAGTTATGTTGCCTCATGTCTGATACCAGTAAGCTACATATACAAATTCACATCCTCCCACTTTTCAGAAAGCACAAATTCGCTCCTCTTTTCCCTTCATTAATGTTCTGCCTTTTTAAAAATCTATACAAAAAACTATGTGTCCTTTTCTCAAACTACTTTCACCCTCTTCACTTGCTTTATTCCTGAAACACCTGAAAGAAACCTTTCAATTCCAGTTTACCAAATATCCTCTCAAATATAAAAGACTATTTGAAAACTATTAAAATTTATGGTTGATTCGTAGATAATTATGTAAAATATTCTGACCTCTGTGTTTATAAATTGGTCTTTAACATCAAATCTTCCTATTCCATAGCCTGATCATTCTCTCCGAGCAATACAGTCTTAGAATTATAAACCACCAGCAAAGCTTCCTAAAATTCTTTTTCCTAAACTTTTTTTTTTTCCTTAAGAGAGGTTTTGCTACAGGTTGTGTGTGGTCACCAGAGAAAAACAGAGAGAAAGCTAGAAATCACCCCCCAGGAGTGATGGCCATGCCACAATCTCTTCTCCATTCTCCTCCAGATCACACATACATGTACCTAGCATGAGTTTTAAGCCTCTGGGTCTGGTACTCAAACCGCAATCAGCTCTGTGGGAGTCCAGTGATGTAACTGTTATGCCATCTGCTGGCCCCCAGTCTTCATAAAATTCTTACCAGGATTATTTCAGCCCTAGAAATAAAGAGATTGTTTTGAACACGTTTGTCTCATTATGAGGTAAAATACTGTCTCATACTTACCATCCACCGGTTGGTGATATCACTCTCCTCATTTAGATTTCTCTGATTTTCTTGGATCTTTTCCCATAAAGTCCTCATTTGTTGTAAGAGCTTCTCCTGTAGAAGAACTATGAAAATTAGACTAGAGAAGCAAATAGGTTTGATTTCAGACCCTCAATGATAGAAAATAATTTAAGGAGTTTTAGATAAAAGTACTATAGGTAGAGTAAAAAAAAAAATGTTTTCCTTTCTGCCCTTAATATCACCATCCTTTATCCACCAGTTTTCAAAGTGCTCTCAGAGGTCTCACTTACCCGGTATTCCTCAGCAGCCCCATCAATGGGACAGTGTCTGTGAGTCTCATGTTCCTGAGACTTAGAGCAGAGCAGACACAGCAGGCTCTTGTCCTCCTCACAGAACACCTTCTTTGTTTCATGGTGGGTCCCACACAGATGTTCCTCAGAGCTTAGGCATTGCCAGAGACTGGCTTTTCTGGCAATAGACACCAGATTCTTCATTCGAATATCAGTTTTGAACTCTTTCTGCCGCGATGGTTCCCTGCATATGGGGCAGCAGGCAGGAATTTTGGCTTCTTCCCAGGAAAGGCAGAGGCAGGGTCTGCAAAAGCTGTGCCCACAGCCAATGGTGATGGGGTCTGTGAGGTAGTTCAGGCAGATGAAGCAGGTAAGTTCTTTCTGGAAGGCTTGTGTGATAAGTGAGTCCATTTCTCTGAGGGAAGAAAATAAGAACAGCTTATTCCTCTAGTCTGGAGAGAGAAAGATCTGAGCAACATTTGACTCAGGTTCTGCCTCAATAGTGTTCCTCTACCTAAAGAGGGATAGGTTTCATTTTACAGGTGAGCAGAAAAAGAAAACTGAAGCCCAAAAAGATGTCTTGTGATCTGTAGAAAACGTTGATGGTTGCCTAGCCCACAAGCATCTACATCCTACCCTTTCTCCTACATATAAAAGAATCTCAGTTTTATTTATTTTTTTCCTCCAAAGAGCTTGAACGTCAGGAGTTTGAGTCCATTTATAGCTGTAGAGAGTGGGTTCTGAATGATGTGTGTATCAGTCATATAGCTCTTTGCAATGACTGGGTAACCCAGAGCATATGACTCAACTTCTGCTTTCATTATTTTGTTTATCATAACCCGCTCCTTCGATGTGCATTTAAATTTTAATCAGAATCTGCCAACCCCCCAAAATTTCCATATACCTAAAAGTTAATGAAGAATAAACTAAACCTTGTAAAGTGGGGTCACATTTCAGCCACAATCTACAGACATGAATATATGAATCTGTTGAATTTGCCCTCCTATATCTTTATCTGAATCCCTGTAATCAAACAAGGTACAAATTAGTGTTAACTCTTATCAAGTGCTCCTTCACATTGGGAAAAAAATGAAATGATTATATAATGATAATAATTAACACTAGAACTCTGGTGTTAATTAGAACATACAACCTGATTTAAAAGTGTATTTTAGTTCAAAAAGTCTTTACTTCTCCTCTAGATAAATATATTTACTATCACTTCTGATATTTCTGCATGGTCACCAGTGTCACTATTCTACTTAACCTAATCATTTCCTGATTTCTTTACATTTAAGTCAGAAAACTGATATTTCTGAAGAGAAAGTATTATTATACTCTAGAATATTTTCCTCAACCATTCACTGCATCATCTAGTTATAAATTATAGAATATTCTCCATTCTGCATATATACATATATATATGTATGTATCACTTTTAGATTAGGATAGAATAGGTTAGTGCACAATAGAATAAAATCTCAATAAAATTTCAAGATCTAAAGGAGGAAGATTTGAAATACAGAGACACAGAGGAAGTCATGCAGAGACAGAGGCAGAGTGGAGCCAGGCAGCTGTAAACCAGTGAGAACCAAGGGAAACTAACAGGTTATCAGAAGTTAGGAGACCATTGTGAAGTGGATTTTCTATCACAGCCTCCAAAGGTGCCAACCCTGCTAACAATTTCAGGCCTTCAGAACCAAGGCACACTGCTATATTAAGCTTCTCAGTGTGTGATCATTTATTATGGCAGTCCTATAAAAATAACATACGAATGTTTTGCATTTATACCATTTTTCTCATTGCAGCTTTATAAGGTGAGTTTATCAGTATGAATTTATTATACAGATGAGAAAACACAATAATAAGATTATATAACCTCCCCAAATAACAGAAATCATATAATACATGAAAATAACAGAAACTCTAAAGAAAGCCATGTGCATGAAAGTAGATTTTTTTTGAGAGTTTTTTTTGCTATAGGGCGCGTGCACTTGCCAGACAGAGAGAAACAGAGAAACAGAAAGAGAGAAAGCAACCCCTGGGGAGGATGGCCACGCCGCAATCCCTTCTCCTCCATTCTCCTCTCAGGATCTTGGGCACGCACGCACACACACCCAGCGTGAGTTTAAGTCGCCAGGTCTGAGACACGAACCACGGTTAGGACTATGTGGGAGTCCAGTGACACAGCCATTACACTAACTGCTGGTCCCTGCATGAAAGTAGATTTTGTGAAATATGCCATTATGGAAAGTTGAACTTCAATAGGATGTTAGGATGGTAAAATTAGAAATTAACAATTTAAAAAATTGCAAAATAGTATAACCTGCAGAAAACAGGCTCAAGCACAGGTGGTTTAAGAGAGTTAATTAAAGGGCTAATCACAGTGTTTCTGCCAGGTAACCAGAATCAGCCAAGGTAAGCTACCCAGGTCTAAAAACTGGGGAAGCTGGCACCACTTCTGAATTTGAAGGGGCAAAAATAACCTCTAGATGAATTCAATAGATCAACTAACATGTAAATGTGATGGAAATATGAAGACAAAATTTTTAGTATGGAGAGTTTGGAGAAGAGTTTGTGACAGACTTAGTGATAACCTGGAAATGACCATTATCAACTCTGGAGAAAACAAAAATGTTAAGAAAAAAGGAAATATATACTCAGCTTTTAGAAAAAATGAGACCCTATTGTTTGATTCAAGGAAGATGAATAAAGAAGACTTAATTATGAGTGAAGCAAGCCAGACTTTGAAAGACTTATACTGTATATCCTCACTCAATATGTACCAAATATCTGCCCTCTATGGCAGAAGTTGAAAGACCTGAAGATATGATAGTAAAGAGGTTAGTGTAGGTACCAAGACTGTAAGAGAGAGGAGTGGATGGTAGAGAGTAGGTGTGAAGCACAAAGGAAAAAGCATTAACAGACAGTATGTAAATTTCTCTTTTAAAATATATACATATTATGTACATTATGATGTGGACTTTGTGTAAAATATGTCATTTGAAAATGAGAAAAAAAGAACCATAATTACAGTACCTTTTACTACCTCAGTACATTACATCTGTTTGGGAAACTCTTAAGACTACTGAAAGTTGAATTCTTTGTTAAGGAAGAGGGTATACATTCATTAACACAGAACTCTATTTACCTGATGATCCTAAAATTGGTCTCATCAGACTTTGTAGTGAAATATATTCAAAATATATCCAATTGGCTCAGGGGTTCTGCTTTCTCTGGGCCCTCTGGACAGCAGCAGCTAACTTTCTGAGATTATCACAGTTCAGCCAACTCCAAGTACCTCAGAGTGCACACCTTTTCTCTGGGATCCTTTATATTAATATCCTTTACACCCACCTTGGACTTTTTACAGTATGAAGGTCAGCTGGACCATATATCACCTTGTCATTGATTAGCTTAACTCACTAGTGCTGGTTCATCCCATTGACTTTTGAACAACATCCACTAAAGCAACTTGGGGCTACATTTCCAGGGCCCCACATTCTGTTCCCACTTCTGCTTTCACATCGTTCTATATTCAATATGATACTTGGACATATACCCCTCATTTTTTGATAATGCCCACTCTCTCTTCACTATGGCCTAGGATCTGATATCATCCCATCCTCAGAATGACCATTAAATCCCTTTATTCTTGATCATTTCTGCTCAGTTTTAGAGGTTAAGTGACATGTCAGGAAAAAAAAAATCAACGATTACCATGAGTAGTTGAGAAATGAAAATTAGAAGCTCAAGTGTCTGGCACCCTGGATGACGTAATTCTGTGTTTAGGGAAAAGAGCTCTAGGCATTCATTAATAGTTTACAGAGCTTAGAGCATTTAGTTGAAAGCAATTTAATCAAACTCAAATTGGCTACAGGGATCTCTTGACTGAAGTAATAACTTTTTAGTGTTTGACTGTATCATTGCTCATATTATTTTTTAAGCTGATTTTTTCTGTGTATTTAAAATTTTTACAGCTAAATCAGTTTCCAAGTAGTATTTATATGAATATTTTCAAAACTATGACATTATTGGGGAAAGCCCAATTTAATAAAAAGCTTTAATGAGTTGTTAGATATATAATACACTTATAAATATTACTCAACTTTTTAGCTATGCAGAGACAGAGTCAAAATGTGTACAGAAAAATATCTGGAAAGCAAAACTCCTTGGATTTATTTATAATGAAAACTTTAAAAAATATATTACCTTTTTCTTTATATTTTAAGATAATTTGGTAATGAGAATAAACTGAAAAAGACAACTATTTTTATAATAGTGTCAGATACTTAACTCTCATATAACTCACATAAACAGTTACATAGGTGTCTATACTTTAAACATTTGTTATATGTTATTTAATCACCTATATAAATTTTTAATAAATCTATAAATATGCATTTGTACTTGTAATACTAAATTCCAGGTAAGTTTAAATAAGTTCTCTTTTATTGAAAAATAAGTCCTTCTATTTACATTAGAGAAAATGTGTCCAAATCCTCTAAAGCAAATAAATGAAATATTATTCTTAAACTATGAGGTTGGCCAATATTAAGAAATGCTAATATTCAATATTGCTGAAATATGAGGTAGATGCCCTCATGTGCGCTCAAGAAGGGAGGACAGGCTGGATGAAGTCAGATTAGCCAGCCATTATTGAGGTTATCTGGATGGCTTTCTTTTATGCTGGCCTTTGTTCCTTTTCCTGGTCCCTTCTCTGACCCCTTCTCTTTTACTCATGGAGTCATCTTTGTGTTTTTGTTTTGTTTTGTTTTTTAGGTTTTTGCTATAGGGTGCTGTGCTTGTCAGAGAGACAGAGACAGAAAGCAAAGTAACATGGCCACACCACAATCCCTTTTCTATTCTCTACAGGGAGAATGGCCACACCACAATCTCTTTTCAATTCTCCTCTCAGGATTTTGGGCATGCACACAAACGCACCCAGTGTGAGTTTTAAGCCACTAGGTCTGTGACTTGAACTGTGGTTGACTATGTGGGAGTCCAGCAATGTAACCATTATGCCCTCTGCTGGTCCCCATGTAGTCATCATTGATTGACAGGGTCTTACATTCTGTCCACATGTATTTTCCCAAAATGCATCATGAAAGCCCAATGAAGTTCAGGGAGTCAAAACTGCAATGCCAATATATGCTATCTGAGCAAGGATAACTTAAGAATATGCTGCTGCTCTAGTGCACATGCTCAGCCTTAAGTCAAACAGAGGGGCTTGTTCTTGAAACAAGGCATTCAGAAGTTTGGCCTTGAAGCTGATGCCCCCTCAGTGAGGAATTGTTGACTACAGGACACAACAATGTGGGCCAGACTCTTGTCTGGGCAGGAGTCAGGGGCAAGGGGCAGGCTGCCCCTGATGATGTCCAACTGTTCCCTAACAAAACTTTAAGACCCTCCAGCCTAAATTGCTTATTTAATTCCACACTGTCTTTAGCATTTAAAATCCAGTCAGTTTATCCTAAATTTTAAAAGACTTTTTAACATTTTATAGCAATTTTTAAATTGACCATTCTCTGTTAAAAACTGGAAACCTTAGAAACTATATAGGTTTTAGAAATAATTACTTTCTTACTTTCTAAACTGTATTTCATTGAAAAATATATTTTATGTGATACCATAACAGAGATAATGGATAAAGATATTTTAAAAATAACTTTCTTAAATAATTATGCATGTAATTATTTTATGTTTATTTGGGTATCTGTGAATGTATTAAGTGTAATACACTTCATTATAATTAATAAATCTGTAAATAAAAATCCCCCTGTCTCCATCTCTAATTGCACTTAATTTGACATTGGAGAAACCTGAGCTAATTGATGGTTCTACGTGACTCATTGAACAACTGACATTGTATCTAAGCATGATTCTAGGTTCCCAAGAATCCTCTTTAAAGTGCTTCCTTTTTCTTATATAAGTAATTTACTATGGTCTTGAATCACATCTATCATTGTTCCAGCTTTCAGATTTTTTTAATATGACCATAGCATGTAAATTACTAAATATGTCTCTAAATACCTATATACAGCCCTTTATCTTTGGAAAATGAATGATTAATAAGGAGGGAAAGATTTCTCATGGAAAACCATTACCTAGGGATACTGTATGTTGTCCCAACAGTGAGCTGACTCTCCTCAGAAAATTTGAGCCTGTCTCTCAGCCCAGTAATGGTTTGAGCACTGGGCTCCGGGTTCATCACCTAAGGTATGTGCAGTTGCACAAACTCACTCTTGCAAGAAGGAAGAGGCTATGAGTCTTGTTCCAAAGACTTCATCATAGTGTTTAAGAAAAGACATAATCACTCAACTGAGAAGGGTTCTCATCCAAACCCTTTTTGATTTATAATGTACTTGTACAATTGTGGGATTGGATTGTTGCATTCACAGGGTATAAATCTATTATAAAATAATAAATAACTATGCTCTAGAAATTTTTATGGTGAGCCCAACAACATATGCTTCCTCAGCCCTAGGGTAAAGAAAGGCTGACCTCTGATAAAGGGAAACAGTAAGTCATTTTTAAGAAGATATACATGAGCACATGCTCACACAAACAACTGAGTATAATGTTTATGAATTATGTTTTCACTTTGTTGGAAACAGCTTGATCTCTTTCATAGCTCATATGTTGCCCTAGCTTTCAATGAAGTCCAAATTCACTATGTCATAATGTCTCCGAAATCATGCAAAGAGAACAAGAAAAGTTTAGACCTCTTTGGAAATGAGCTAATATTGGGTCATTGGAAAAGTCATGATGGTTTTTTATTTTTGTTCTTTAATGCAAAAATATAGCATGACTTTTCTGATGACCCAATATTTAGGATTGGAAAAATCAGGAAACAGTTCATCTCCATTACTATGAAATCATGTTATAAATTACTTTTCCTTTTCTTCTGTAGAGATAATCCCAGTACAACATACTGACACAACAAAGTGTTTTAATGAATTCAGGTCCTGACAGTAAATACAGCAAGTGCAGGGCACAGGTGGTGACTACATTACTATGGCCACATCTGTATGCAAAATGGTCTTTCCCAAAGCTTTTCCCCAAGAGTAAGATGCCCCAAATTAAGGGCAACTCAATTTAGGACATACAAATAGGAAGAGAAAAATCAAATCAGTGTTTTATTTTCCCAAATATTTACACACTACCTGGTTGGAGACACATGGAATGATAACGAATAAATAATTCATTTCCAGTTTTTTTTATTAATTTTTTTCAATTTTTTATATACATTCAATGACATTATTTAGCTTACAAGGTGAACATTTCAATATGTGAGCATTTCTCCCCAGTCCAGTTGATCAAAATACCTTCAACCGATAACACCACACCTCCCCATCCCGTCAATGCTCTGCCTCCATATCCCTCCTCCAAATGTCCTTCCTTAGGTCCCGCTTCTCCACACACACACCACATCTGGCACTAACCCCAATCTCTTGGGTTTGTACAACCTTAGGTCAAGCAGTTTCAGTCATAGAGAGCAGACACTTGGTATATATTAAGTAGGGACAAACACAAAGGACAGAAGAATTCTTTTCATTTTTGAGAGACTGTCACTACAGAGCACATGCACTCACCAGACAGACATAAAAAGACAGAAAGAAAATGAGAAATCACCCCCTAGGGTGACACAATCTCTTCTCCCCCATTCTCCTCTCATGATTTTAAGAACACATACACACACACACACATACACACACATACACACACACACACACACACACACACACACACACAGCATGAGTTGCAAGCTGTTGGGTCTGGGATTTGAACTGCAGTCTGCCATGTGGGAGTCTAGTGCCTTAACCACTATGCCTCCTGCTAGCTCCCTACCCCCCCCCCTTTCCAGTTCTTAGAGAAGCTACAAAAGGAGAATTTTAGAAGGAGACATTCCCTGTGTAATGTACTGTTACAGTTTCATAAAGTCTGCTTGTTCATTGTTAGGAGAGGAGTTATAGTCCATCTAGATTATCCCCATTTGAGAAAAACCCCAGTTACACATGCTTAAGATAAATAAACATCTCTCTGGTATTGAATAAATTATATGACCAAAGATGTGGACTTCAGATAATGTAAAAGATATTTAGGACCAGCTCATGGCCTAGTTGTTGAGGTAGACTGATCCCACATGACCAATGTCATGTTTCAAGTCCTGGACCTGAAAGCTTGAAAGACATGCCAGGCATGTGTGCAAGCCTGCCCTAAATTTCAAAAGGAGGGAGAAATAGAGAAGAAGGGATTTGATGTTACTACACCACATTGGGGGATATTTTCTCTTTCTCTCTCTCTCTGATGATTGCATGTGCCTTCTGGCAAAGAAAAAAATTACGTAAAAAGAACAATTTACAGAATGGCTACTCAATTGTGAAGAAGCCTTGTGGAGGCTGCAGAGGGTCACTTCTTTCTCAGCCCTCACACAACGAAGATGGAGAGCTCTGCCCAGCCTGCCCTTGAATGGTTGGTGACAAAGGTGGGATATTCCTTAAGGAGCAGCCTCAAGGCAGGACCCTGGGTCTTCTGTGTTAAAACAGGAGCTTGGAGAGTGGAAAAAATATTTTTTAAAAAATTAAGAGGTTTTTGCCATAGGGCACATGCATTCACTAGAGAGAGAGATGGGGGATAGTCACACTACAATCCTTTCTCCTCCATTCTCCACTTAGGATCTTGGGCACACATGCATACACACCCAGTGTGATTTTCAGGGTTCCGGATCCAGGATTCAGACCACAGTCAGCCATGTGAAAGTCCATCTTTGACTTCTGCTGACAACTGTTTCAGACTTTGACCAGGGCTTGGTATCAGTATCTCAAGTTCCCAGAAGTATTGGAGAAGATACCTGTTCAGGTTTGATGAGAAGGACATCAGGGAAACCTATGTTATTTTCAGCTGGATGTTGACAGTTGTTGCCACCAAAAAGCTCAGAAAAATGAATCTCAAACCCAAAACTTGCTATCACCCTCTAGAACCAGCTTTGTTTATTTTAGTATAGATTTTTCTCAAGAAACATGAAGGTCCATAATCTTCTATGCAGGACTAAAAGTTACTGTAAAAAACTTTGAGAATGGTGTGTGTCAATCCCCTCTTCTCCTCAAGAAATGTGAGACAAGAATATTTAGATTTCTTCTGATTACACAAGTATCAGTTGATTTACCAACGTTTTGTACAATAATGAGGGAAAAAACAAATAAAATAAGATCACATTAATCTCATTATACCTAGAGAAAGTTTATGACTGTTTTGGAAAAATATGTATTATTCACTAATAAATACTTTTATAATCCACAGAGGAAGGGATGGTGCTGGTAAAATTGGTTGAGAATTGGAAAATAAAGCCAGCCCTAGAGGCTTTTTACCAATTGTGGTCTCGTACTGAAGAAAATTTTTGCTTTGGAATCCAAGAACACTTTTGAGAAAACAGAACTGTGGTATATTGAACTGCAGTTCTGGAAATCACTCACATGTCACCAGAGTTTGAATCCCTGGGCAGGTCAGCCCACAACATACTGGCTTACATGAGCGCTGAAGATCATGATGAGCTGGACAGCTGGGACAAGTGTGACAAGACAGTGTCAAAGGTCTCTCAGAGTGTACACCATGCTCTGTCTCATGAATAAACCTCAAGAAAAGGTACAATTGTGAAAATTTAATATGTGAAATGTATTTATACATATATTTTGGAAGACTGAAAGATTAGATAACAATTTCTTTCTCCAAAACCTGCATTTCCTCAGATGAGTCATTAGGTGACAAACGCATAAGGAAAGGGAGGCATCTGTATTTAACTGTCTGATTTTAGCAGAATGGGAATATGTGTTCTTCTCTAAAACTACTCTTTGTTTTTCATTTTTCAATCATTGTGTGGTATATATATATATAATGCAAGTTATAAATTAAGTTGCCTAAGGGGGTCTCTGGGCTGGGACTTCTTGGCATTCTTTCATATACAGTCAAAGATGGTTTAGGTAGTACCAAGCAGACAATTCTATTTCCCGTCCATGCTGACAAGTCTTGAGAGTCTTTTTTTTTTTTTTAAGTCTTGAGAGTCTTGACCTGGAGTATGAGAAGAAAGGGAAATATTTATTCTGGAGTGGGGATCAAAGATGTTCTAATATTAAATCCATACATGAAAATATAAAAATCAATCAATAAATAAAATAAACCCCTCTCTATATGACAGAGTAGAATTAAAGCCAATCTCACACAAAATATTTCCAAATATCCTAAGACATTTAATAAAACTGCAGAATGATTCTATTTTTAGCATTATCCATACAAAAACAAAAGAATGCAATTGGAAAGAAAAAGTTACACATGAAGTAGGAATTTAGGAGCCATTCATTGTTAAAATCAATGACTTGACTAGATGATACCTGCAGAGATTAACTGAGATGTTAAATCAATCTTTTCCTGTGTTTCGAAGAAATCTAATCATCCATACCAACCCATTGGAAGACACAAAATGCAATCACTAGGAATGAATGTGCATGGTCTTCAGAGACTCAGTATTAGGACTCAGATGAAGCCATACTCATTCACCTCCAGAAGACAGTGTGCTTGGAACTCACCTGGCTATAGAGATTTGTGAAAACACCTACCAACACACATTGAGGACTGATCTCTGAATTGATTATAGTATTCCTGCTACGGCAAGCACTGGTGAGATCTCGACGTGTTCCTTAGGTAAGTACATAATTTATAGAAGACAAGTTCTTGCTACACTCCCCAACAAAATCACATAAGATTTCCTATTTCTTTTTCTTTTCCAGTTGACCCATAATAATTGTACGTATTTGTGGGGTATGGTGATTTATTTTCGGATACATGACCAAATTGTGTACTGAACAAATCAGGGGGATTAATAAATGGGGTTATAGCTATGAAAGATATTTGCCTACTTTATAAAATGATGACATTCCTATTCTGTCATGCTATGCACGTAGGCATTAAACTTACGATTAAATTTAGTTACATCATTCATGTATTACTTCATTGTTCCTATGTATAAGGGCTAAGAAAATAGTTACAAGATACCTTGTAATTTCATACTTTGTGTATATCCTAAAATATTTTTAGTAACCTCTTATCCTATGTGTGTATTACATTCTACTCTAAAACTAGTGTGTTGTGCTAGATAGTCTAAATAATGAATTGAATGGATTGAGGGAAATATTGTGTAGAGTAAGGAAGTAAGGGTTGATTTTTCAGAGGCATCAGTTTTCTGAGTTAAATGTTAAAGAAGCCAGGTAAACAGTTGGACATCAAGAAAAGCGACACTGATGATTATGCAGAAATGACAGCAATTAGTTGGATATCTGTATTTAACTAGTGTAGAAAGGAGGACCCCAATTTTTTTTTTAGCAAAGTAAATTTTTTAAAGAATTTATGTTCAGGTGCCAATTCTAATACATCTTTTCACAATGTGAAGGGTGCTTAATAATCGTTCACAGACTTGGTATAGATAGATACTTTCTTTTCCTTTTGGTTTGTTTAATTAGAACAATGTAGATAATAAAGGCATGAGAGAAAACTCAACAGGTTAGTACGTTTGCATCAGTAGATTCTTGGTGAATTCCGATCCACTTTTACGATGTTTAATCTTCATCAACCCACATGCCCTTAGCTCACCCAATCACTGGCAGGAAACATTATGATTGACTTTGAGAGTACTCAGGATCCATTTTCAAAGACATAATTCGGGTCAATCTCTTGTAGTTCAAATAATTTGAACTTTGTGCCTCAACAGAACAGTTCATTTTATGCAGGAGAAAGGGGGTGAGAAATGATGCAGGTTGATGAGACGACCAGCAAAGTCTCATAAAGACTTCGAGCTCTCTGCATACCTCTGTTTTCTCTTTGGTCATCTGTAAAGTGAAGCCTGTTCTGCTTTAGACAAGTATGTCATTGAGTCAGAACCTGAATGTTTCTCAGGCTTCTGTCTTCCAGGGTAGAAGAATAAACTCTTCTGATTTTCTTCCCTCAGAAAAATGGACTCTGGCATCACACAAGCCTTCCAGAAAGAACTTACTTGCCTCATCTGCCAGAACTTCCTCTCAGACCCAGTTGCCATTGGCTGTGGGCACAGCTTTTGTAGATCCTGCCTCTGCATTTTCTGGGAGGAAGCCCAAACTGTTCCCTGTTGCCCCTTGTGCAGGGAACCAACACGGCAGAAAGAGTTCAAAACCGATATTCGAATGAAGAATCTGGTGTCCATTGCCAGGAAAGCCAGTCTCTGGCAATTCCTAAGCTCTGAGGAACATCTGTGTGGGACCCACCATGAGACCAAGAAGGTGTTCTGTGAAGAGGACAAGAGCCTGCTGTGTCTGCTCTGCTCTAAGTCTCATGAGCACAAGGCTCACAGACACCGTCCCATTGACAAAGCAGCTGAGGAATACCGGGTAAGTGAGGCCTCTGAGAACACTTGGAAAGCTGGAGGGTAGGAGAGCATAGAGAGTGGCAGGAAGATGAGGCTCATGGCGATGATAAACTCATTCTTGGCTGAGTGCTAGTTTCTATTCTAGGTACCTGTGAAGAATCTGGTAATAAAATATGAAAGTAAGGGGACTTCCGTGGTGCAGCCATAAACAAAATGCACCCAGACCAACCCATATGGGAAGATTCCTGTTCCTGACCAGAATCTTCCCTGAACTAGCTGAGAATGCATGTGCCTGTGATCTGGGGCTGGCTGTAGCTAGGAGTGCAAGGTAGAGTCAAGACCCTACTAGGGGTACTCCATCTATTTTTATACCTGTCCTTTGCCCATGAAAGAAAGAAACTGAAAATATGTAACCGTATGTGCCATCTGGGAGCTTGCATTCCGTGTGGAGGATGATGAAGGTAATAGTATTTTGATTATTTGGTATAATACCCAAGGCACCACAAAATGCTCAGAGATATTGGTTACAAAAACTACCAGTGTAAAAGGCTTCTATATAAACAAACATTTACTAACACAGATGAATTAATATATAAAGTATGTTGGTATAAACAGGGAAAGATTCAGATCCAAATCCCGATGCAAATGCCACACTATCTGAGAAATGGCCATGTTTATTCATGAGTTTCCCTAGGAAAAATGATTACATTCTGTGATTTTACAATTAGAAATTTTCTAAAATTGACAGTAATCAAGAGAAAAGGGAAACATCATCCTTCCACTTGCCTAAAAGTAATTTGAAAATCCCTGGTTTGTCTTCATCATTAGTTGTTTTAACAGTAAATATGCTCCTCTTGTGCTCAAGTTTACACTTCCTTTCCAGGAGAAGCTCTTCAAGCAAATGCGTTCTTTATGGGAAAAGATCCAAGAAAACCAGAGAAATATACACAAGGAGAGCCGGATAACCAACTGCTGGGTGGTAAGTACAAGGCACTTCCCTTCAGAATCAGCCAGAGGCAGACCTCCTAGAAACTTACCCATTAAGAAATAGAGCTGCTGGGACCAGCAGTTAGCGTAATGGCTATGTCACTGGACTCCCACGTAGTTGACCGCAGTTTGCGTCCTGGACACGGTGGCTTAAACACTCGTCAGGCATGTGTGCGTGCGTGCCCAAGGTCCCGAGAGGAGAATGGAGAAGAAGGGATTGTGGCGTGGCCATCCCCCCTCGGGGGTGATTTCTCGCTTTCTGTCTCTGTCTTTCTGGCGAGCACACGCGTCCTATAGCGAAAATCTCTCTCTCAAAAAAAAAAAAAAAATAGAGCTGCTGTCATCATAGTTAGGATTTTAGGAAGATCTTTTCTGGTGGTTTCTGATCCTGAGTGCAGTGCACCATTGCTGCTTAAAGAAAGAAAATGATAGGCAGTGTAGGAGAGGAGTTTGAAACTAAATACCAATTTACTAACACACATCAGAATATTGCATGCAATGTTTTTGAAAAAAATTCAAATGACAATGACTTGAATGTAGTATTTCAGAGTTGAGAGGATATAGAGTGAAGAAATTATTGAAAAGCTTTTATTCAGGTGTCAAGAATTCTTAAAGGGATAAAAGTGGGTTTGAAGGAAGTGCGGGCATGCTTCTTTGACTGAAAGAACGGAAAATAAATGAAGGGAGGAAGGGGAACAAATTTATACTTTCAGAAAAGTGGGAGGATGCAAATTTAGGCTGCACGTCCCCTATAGATGAAAGACTTTAGTCAGAGTGAAATAAATGCAACTTACATGGAGAAAGATATTATCTTGTTATTTGCCTGAAAACGAGATCATGGACATCATGTCCCTGCAGTTTTATGTGTATCTGCGGGAGGAGATGATCAGGGCTGAGTACAGGAAGCTGCACCCATTCCTTGATGAGGAAGAGCAACGTCACATGGAGCATCTTAGAAATGAAGGCATAAACATTTTGTACCAACTGAAGACAAGTGAAGTCAAAATGGTTCAAAAGAAGAAAAGCCTAAGAGAAATGTATGAGGAGCTGGTGATAATGTGCCATAAGACAGATGTGGAACTGCTTCAGGTAAGAACTGATGACATGCCTGGAAATATTTTCTATGATCTGAAGTCCACACATTTGACTACATCATTGATTGAGTATCAGAGATATATTTATTCATCCCATGCATCTGTGATAGAGGTCTCTACCAGTTGGAAATAATCTTGATGAATTGTAACTCCTCTCCTAATTGAATTAGCAGTCTTTATGGATAGTAGATTATTCAGGGACTGTTTCCTGCTAAAATTTTCCTTTTGTAGCTTGCTTCTCTAAAATGCAGTGTTTTAGTCTGTTTTATTCAGGAAAAACAGAACAAACAAAACAAATCTGAGTCTAGCCAATACTGGAGAGTACAGGGTTATTCCATTAAGTTGTGAAGGTTCATGCTTTAGTCTCTGGCTATATTACAATGTGGTGGAGGTCAGAAAAGGGTGGCCTAGGTTCCATGTGTGTGTCTCTCCCTACAAACCCATCAGTAGTCACTGACAGGGGTCCTACCCTAATCACTTAATCACTTCCAAAAGCTTCACCTTCCAAACGATGATGTTTCTTCTCAATATATTCACAACAAAATTCAACACACAAGTTTGGGGGGGGGGATATTCAAACTATAGCAACCAAAAGAAACTATTCATGGATATCCACTTGCATTTTAGTTGTATAATGTGCAAAAATTTGAGAAGAGCTTACATTTTCTCTTTCTCTTTGTATGTCCTAGATTTAAATTGCCCTTAATTTGGTGACATGATCTCAGGGTGAAAAGCCTTGGGAAAGAGCCCTTTGCATACAGCTGCTACAACTGTATTGCTACAACTTTATTTAAATAGCTTGCTTTCATTAATCTGTTGTGCTGAGTTTATCTCTACAGGAAAAGTAACTTTACAACTATGGTTTAAGGTTCATGGAGACTGGTACTTTTCTTGACTTGTCCCAACCCAGATATGAAGTCTAAACTTTTCTTCTTTTCTTTTCAGGATTTGGGAGACATTCTAAAAAGGTAAGTTTGGTCTTCAGTGTAAATTGGAGCACCACAAGAGCTTTGAAGGAGTCTGAACTATTTCTAACAATGATACATACTGTACCCAATTGTTCGTGTGTATGTGTTTTTGTATTTTATTGAATATGAGTTCCTGTTCCCCCATATAAGAAAATTAGTCTTTATGGATTCGGCAAGTGTGAGGATGGGAGGGCACTGGACTCCAACATGGCTGACTGTGTTCAAGTCCTGGACCTGGCAGCTTGCTTTCTCACTCTTTCTCTCTCTGTCTCTGTCTCTCTCTGATCAAACTGAAGAATAACAATAAAGAAAATTAAATAATTCTTTAAAAAAATAAATAAAAGAAAATTAGTCTATCTCTCCCTCTCTGGATGAGGAATATATGTGCTGCTGGGGTCAGTGAAGAAGTTTCTAGAATATAGGTATCCATTTTAGATTTTAAACCATAAAAATCTCAGTGGACTAGTCTGCTCCAGATGGTAGATGAAAGGCAAGTACTTATAAATGGTTTGGAAATAGGCCAAGAGAGGAAGTAAAAATGTTTTCGGATGAATAGAAAACTCCTATCATGCAACTGTGGAGATACACTATACTTTTAGAACAGGGTTTGATGAAACACTTCCACTTGAGTAATTATGTCTTTTCTTAAAAGCTGTGATGAAGTACTTGGGTATAGGATTCATTGCTTTTCCCTTGCAGGAGTGAGTTTGTGCAACTGCATATGCCTTGGATGGTGAATCCAGAACTCAGTGCTCAACCCATCACTGGACTGAGGGACAGGTTCAACTACTTTCGAGGTGAGTGTCAACCTAGTAGTGTGATGCAATTGAGTGTCCTTCAGTAATGGTTTTCTTTTATTTCTTCTTTTTTCTTGTTAAATTAAAAAAGAGTGTTGTGCTTGCTGGAGACAGACACATGAAAGGGTGGGGAGAAAGAAAGCAATTTCCAAAAGGATGGCTATGCTACAATTCCTTTTCAATTTTCCTCTTGGGATTTTGGGCATGCATACACATATGCCTGACACATTTTTCAAGCCACCGGATCCAGGATTCAAACCACATAGTCAGTCATGTGGAATCCAACACCTTACCTATCACACCATCAACTGGCCCAGAAATGGCTTTCTGTAGCTAATGTTTATAAGAAAGAAGTGAGTCAATAGAATAGGTGTTTATGGTCATATTTGAACTGGGATACTATGAACAAACCTAAAGCAAAGCTCATAAAAGAATACATCTAAGGGGAACCAGCAGTTAGCGTAATGACTATGTCGCTGGACTCCCACATAGTCGACCGTGGTTCAAGTCCTGGACCCGGTGGCTTAGAACTCACGCTGGGCATGTGTGCGTGCATGCCCAAGATCCTGAGAGGAGAATAGAGGAGAAGGGATTGTGGTGTGACCATCCCTCTTGGGGGGTGATTTCTCATTTTCTGTCTCTATGTCTCTCTCTGTCTGTCGAGCGCACGCGACCTATAGCGAAAACCTCTCCAAAAAAAGAATACATCTAATTCAGGCCCACATTAAATAACATATCATGGGAAAAAGAAAACACTGAGAAAAGGCTCCTCGACACCTAGAATCATTCTTACATGCAATGTCAGTTCAATGAATCATATAAGACTTAAATTAATTCAGTATATTCCAATTTCAAATTAAATACAGTTAGTGACAGAGACAAGAGGTTTTATTTTTAAATAATTTTGTAAAATTTAGTTGAATTTGTAATGTGCGTTATACTCGATAAATTAAAAATACATGGATAGGGACCAGTAGGTGACATAGTGGTTAAGGTGCTGGACTCCCAATTGGCTGACCATGGTTAAAATCCTATACCTGGTGGCTTGAAACTCAACATTGGTTGCATGTGCATGTGTGCCCAAAATCCCAAGAGGAGAATGGAAGAGAAGGGGTTGCAGCATGGCTGTCCCCTCTGGAGAGTGATTTCTCACTTTCTGTCTCTGTCTCTCCCTGTCTCTCAAGCTAGCATATGCACCCTATAGCAAAACTCTCAAAAAATTTTTAAAAAATGGATAACTAAGTGCATGAAGCATTATTTTATGAATAACAATGATGACAAAAACAGGTTGGTTGATGAGGCAGTGTTAGCTGTCCATGTAGATCCCAACCTAATGGATAGGCTACAGGCAGAGAGTAGGCATCAGATGGAACCAGGAGTAGAAGGAAGAAAGTTCTTTCTAGGTAACCACTTCTATGAAGGCATACTTATATTTTCTTTAAAGTAATTTGCTTGATTAAAACATAACATCACTGGTGAAGTGATTAGCACTTATTTAGATCTACTTTTCTACCTAAGAATGGAACAGGGGTAAATTATTGCTGTAGACTTAATTGACTGTCATGCACAGGTCTCTAGTTTGTCAGGTGTTATAAAAAGTAACCAGGCAGAGGTAGCTACGACCTGTCTCCCTTTTATAATGTCTGAAGTTTTAGGAATTGTTTTCATTGGGATTAGGCATTTGTTTTTCCCGCAGACATTCTGGCAGCCTTTGAATCTGATTTCAACTAAAACTGTCTCTCTAACTTTGGCCTGTTTCTTTCAATGAGACTCAAGAAAGACCTTGTGATCTTATAGTGATTGAAAAACTGATTTTTGACTGAAATATTCTCTTCCTTTCACAGTGGAGGTTTCCTTCAGTAATGAAATAACCAGTTACAATATCATGCTGTGTGATGATATGAAAAGATTGTTGCTGAGACATGACCATCAAGGTGAATCTAGGAATTCTGACAGGCCCCACTATTTTGCCACATGGGGTACCCAGAGATTCAGTTCTGGGAAACATTACTGGGAGCTGGACGTGGACGACTCTTGGGACTGGGCTCTAGGGGTCTGTAAGGATTCCTGGAATAGCAACGCTGGCACCATGATTGAATCCAATGACACCTTTCTCTTTTTATGTGTGAGGGAGAATAATCATTACAGTCTCCTGACCACCTCCCCAGCTATTTGTCACTATATAGAGAAACCCTTGGGCCGGGTTGGTGTGTTTCTTGATTTTGAGGATGGAAATGTGAGTTTTCTGAATGTTGCCAAGAATTCCCTCATGTGGCGGTCCCCCACTGGGTCCTTGAATTTCCCAGTAAGGCCTTTCTTTTACACGGGCCACACATGATCAGAGACAAGTCAGGAACCTGACTATATACCTGGAAACTCCATATCTGAGAGCTCTTCTTCAAGAAACCAAATCAATATTATGCTATTGTGTTTTTTTCTACTTTAATGTAACTGCATTTTATTGCTATTAAATTTGATGATACTGTTAATGCAAATTTTTTGGTTTAACTTTTTTAATTAAAATCTTTTAAAGCTCATTATCTAGTAGATATGCTGTGGCTTTTGATGTGTTTATAATCTTGTCAGAGCTACAAAATTATGTAGCTGCATGACATAAATATAAGGGTCAAATACAAGAATACAGATTTCATACATGATGACCTAGTTATCCAAGATATGCATGTCATTTTGACATCTCGCTCCTCTTGACCTAAGAAATTCTACTAATAGTGGGACCAGCAGTTGATGCAATGACTATGTTGCTGGACTCCCATATAGTCGACCGTGGTTCAAGTCCTAGACCCGGTGGCTTAAACTCATGCCGGGCGCGTGTATGTGCATGCATGCCCAAGATCCCTAGAGGAGAATGGAAGAGAAGGGATTGTGGTGTGGCCCTCCCCTCTGGGGGGTGATTTCTCACTTTCTGTCTCTCTGTTTTTCTGGTGAGCACACACACCCTATAGCAAAAACCTCTCCAAAAAAAAAAAGAGAGAGAGAGAGAAAAAGAAATCCTACTAATAGTAAAAGGGAAAAAGCACTCATTTATTTTATAGCAAATTTTCCCCCATCCTAAGGTTAAGGGCTGACTTTTGTTTTAGGAAAACCAATAATTAGTCCTTTTTCTTACTTTTCAAGACCTTACCTTTTTGGGGGAAGTCATTTTAGGGTCACAGTAAAGGTGACAGGAAGGTCAGGGTTTGTTCTTTATGTATTCATCTATGAGTTTAGTCAAAAGTATAATGACACATATCCACCATCATACCATCATACTGAAAATTTTCACTGCCAAAAAAAAATCTTGTGTTCTCTACCTAGTCTCACCTTCTGCAATCTCTGACAACTACTGATAAACTCACCTCTACAGAAGATGAGATGCAAATATTATATACTTGGAATTATACAGTATGTAATCTTAACAGATTAGACTCTTTCACTTAGTAATGAGTGTCTGAGTTTCCTCCGTAGCACTTCATGACATCATTACTCAATTAGTTTTATCACTAATATTACTCATAGTTTGAATATATTAGATATATTCATCCATTGAAGGAAATGTAGGTTGCTTCTAAGTTTGGGCAATAATGAATAAAGTATTCAACTCTTTGGACTAAATACTAAGTATGATTGCTGAATTCCATGGTAATCTAATAGTTTTGTAGGAAACCAGCAAAGTTGCTATCCCATGCTGCATTCCCACCAGCAATGAATGAGAATTCCTGTTGCTCCACATACTCACCAGCCTTTGATGGTATCAGTGTTGTGACTGAACACTCTAATGGGTGTGATTATGTCTCAGTACAGTTTTAATTTACATTTTCCTGATGACATAGATAAAATGAAGAGGTTTGACTAGAGCTTGTCAAACAAGCACAAATATATTTAATTCTAAGATTTAGGAAGTACACCCAAACAAAGGCTTGAGTAACCTGTAGGTAGTACTCCAAACTGGCAATGTTCAGTCAGTTTGATAGGAAAAAAGAGGACATTGATATTTTCAACACTGGTTTTGCATTGACTACATTTCTTCATATGTTTCCCAGACAATCAGAAGTTTCCTAGACAATTTGAGTTAGTTTTTGGAAATGCCAGAGCTTGTAATTTTTTAACAGTGCATGGAAATTAATTTATAGCATGGGTTGCATTAGTTGGCCTGGGAAAGTTTCTCTTACAGTGTTCACAAAGGTCATGGGATTTCAAGGAGCATGGCTAAAATCTCCATTTCTCCAAACCTTTTAGGTCCTAATCAATTAAGAGCTGGCCCCTCTCAACATAGGTCAACATGTTTCTTTGTTTCTAAGGCTGGCACAATTAGTTTTCACAATGTTGGTTGCTTTAAACAATTTAGTTTCATAGTTCCAGAGAGGCTGAAAGTCTGAAATCAAAGCATTTTTATGTCACAATTCTTCCAAAGACTATGGAGAAATCTTTCCTTGCCTTTTCCAATCTTGTCTCAGGACATTCCTTGGTTTTTGGCAGCATAACTCTAGTTCAAACCTGTCTTTTCATATGGTCTCCTTCCCTGTGTCTCTGGGCCTCAAATCTCCCTCTCCTTTCTCCTATAAGGACACTGGTCATTGGATTTAGGTTCTTCCATAAGTTCAGGAAGATTTTTATCTTAAGATATTCAATTTGCTTATATCTGCAAAGACATTTTTTCCAGATAAAGTCACAGTCACAGTTACCAGGTATTCATCAAATTAAAAACTTTATTATTTGGGGAGCCAGCAGGTGGCATGGTGATTAAGGTAATGGATTCCCACATGGCTGACCACAGTTTGGATTCCCACATGGCCAGCCACAGTTTGGGTCCCAGACCTGGCAGCTTGCTTTTTAACTTTTTCTCTTTCTGGTGAGTGCATGTGCCCTATGACAAATTAAACTACTAATAATGATAAGATAAAATAAATAATCATTTTAAAATACTTTATTCTTCAAAAAAAAAGACTATAAAAGTGAAAGATAAACCATAAACTGTGAGAAAAATACTTGAAAATCATGTATCTGATAAAAGATTTGTGTCAAAGAACTATGACACCACAATAATAAATGAGTAAATATCAGTTGATATCATTGTACAATCTAAAAGACTTAGTAGATGCTTCACTAAAGATATTTGGATGGCAAGTAAAGACATAAAAAGATGCTCAACATCATTAGTCATTAGTAATATACAGGCAAATTAAAACCACAATGACATACCACTACACGCTAAAAAGTGATTGGCTTATATAACACAGACCGAAAATGCTAAATGTTGGTGAAGATATGAAGAATCTATAATTCTTATAAATCACTAGTGTTAATGTTATATGGTAGAGTCACTTTGAAAAGCAGTTTTGTAGGTTCTTTAAAAATTAAATAACTCAGCAAGTAACTATCCACAAAATATGAAACACTTGCCTGTAAATTTCATAGTAGTGTCACTCATAGTAGGAAAAAAATGAAAAACAAAGTGCCCACCAAACTAGTACATTTATATTATGGAATACCACTCAGCTAAAACAGAAGAAATCATATATCAACAATAGTAATATACAGGCAAATTAAAACCACAATGACATACCACTACACGCTAAAAAGTGATTGGCTTATATAACACAGACCGAAAATGCTAAATGTTGGTGAAGATATGAAGAATCTATAATTCTTATAAATCACTAGTGTTAATGTTATATGGTAGAGTCACTTTGAAAAGCAGTTTTGTAGGTTCTTTAAAAATTAAATAACTCAGCAAGTAACTATCCACAAAATATGAAACACTTGCCTGTAAATTTCATAGTAGTGTCACTCATAGTAGGAAAAAAATGAAAAACAAAGTGCCCACCAAACTAGTACATTTATATTATGGAATACCACTCAGCTAAAACAGAAGAAATCATATATCAACAAAAATCATGATGAATCAATAAATTATGTTAAGCAAAAGAAGAGAGACACAAAAAATTACATGACATATATTTGCATATCTGATATTTCTAAATTCTAAAAAAGTGAGACTATATAGACAGAAAGTCCATCCAGACAGAAAGTGGCTCCCCAGAAACAGATGTGACTAGGGACTGACCAGAAAAAGGAAGAAAGGATCTATTCAGAAGGAAGTGTTTGTTCTTAAAGTGGAAGTGGTTATGATTGCATTAAATAAACCTGATAAAAATGACAATGCTCTCCATAGGGAATGATCATGCTTCAATCCTTTCTTTTTTGCTTCCTCTTTCCAGGATTTTGGGCACTTAAACCACCAGATTTCAGACTCAGGACTAGAACTACATGGTTGGCCATCACACTAGTCCCACCCCAAGGTGCTAGCTCCATGGGCAAAAGAGACTGGATTCTCCCCCATCTCTTCTCCCTGCCACAAATCACAGTAAGCACCAGGATCAAGTCCAGAGCCTAGACATTCATGTTCACTTTACAGTAAGTTTTATTTTAAAAGTTATTTGTTGAGAGGAGAGCCCTAAAAGAGTCTTGCCATGATGTGATGCTCCCCTGTGCCTTCCAGTGAGGAAAATGGGCATGCTTGATGTGCTCAGGTTGACTTGAGATCTGAACCCCAAACTTTCCCATATGGCTCCAGCTGGACACAGCCACACCCTACCACCTTCACAGGTGTAGTCATTTGATTTTTTGTTCATATTTTTTGTTTCTTAATTATCCATCCTGTACAACCTAAAATAAACTGCTTCAGTAAACATTGGGCTAAGCTAGATATTCTCCAAGTATGTTCCAGGGGCCAGCATAATAATAGCATCTTATTATTTATTTAATCATCACACTCTATGTCTGCATCCCAGACCTACTGAATCAAGAATCACTGGGGTTGAGTCCTGCAATCTGTGTTTTAACAAGTGTTGTAGGTGATTCTGAGTCACCTGCTAGGCTACATTGTCAGCTTTGATGTTAATCTGAGGAGAATTCTTTCTCAAAAAGGAAACACAGCACAGCTGAAGTGAAAAGCATCTTTGGGCCTCTCTCTCTTCCTCCCCTTCCGGGACCTGGATAGTGTGGGTAGAGAGATCAGTTCTGGGTGGTGAGGACAGACAAAATCAGACAACGGAATTTCTCTGAGGAGAAGTACCATCTACAGGTGAGAAAAGTAAGCCTAGGAACCAGAGTATCTGGCTTCTGGTTACTGTTTGCATTATTGTGTTCTATTTTTAGGAAAACGAGGGTGGGACTGGCAAGATTGGTTCCCCACCTATAGACTCCTGTTGTGTTGGCTACACTTTCCAGGGGATGGTGGAAGATTATGAAAATCTCTGCTATGTATACAGGTGGGTGCTTCCTCTCAGAGCCAGAATGGGGACTAAAATCCAGAGTACCCTAATATCTCAGAGTTGTATTTGGAGACATTTAACAGATGATAGAAGCATCTCACAAAGGGAGAGCGAAGTCAAGACATGGGAACTCATTCTCCGTAGCTCACTTGCCAGGAGTCCTCACACAGCTTCATTAAGGCTCATCTTCTTTGGCTCCAGTATGAACCTGGAGAGGTGTCAGGTCTTACTGTGTCCTAAGAGTAGCTGAGACCTGCTGTGACTATTACATAGAAGCTTTTTCTGTTTTGTTTTGTTTTGTTTTGTTTTATGCCATGAAGTGTGTGGACTCCCTAGAGAGAGCCAGAGAGAGGAAAAATGAGAAATCAACCCCCAGAGAGGGTAGTCATACCACAATCCCTTATCCTCCATTTTCTTCCTAAGATTTTTGGGCATACATGCACATATGCCTGGGGTCCACTGGGTCTGGGACTCGAACTGTGGTCAGCCATATGGGAGTCCAGTGCCTTAACACCATGCCACCTGCTGGCCTTGTAGAAACTCTGACAAAAAGCCCCGGCAAGTTTTAGAAGCATGGTGGCCCAGCTATGAATCCCATGAATTCATTTTGGGATTTTTGGGGGAGTCCCAAAGTTACATTTTATCCCAACTTTCAAATGAAGACTGCATGAAAGAAGATTCAAATGCTAAAGCCCCACTCCTGGATTGTGAGTCCTTTAGCTGAGATTTTTGTCCATTTTCTGCTGCTGCAGTTGAGCCACGTTGGTGAGCTCAGATAGTGATGCGTGAGCTCTGTAACTGTTGTGGGTCATGACCATGAGTCTGAGAACCCTGACTGTAAAACACAGATTGGATTTATATCCCAGATTGAACCCAAAGTACCTTTCTTAGATAATTCCTACCCCATGTTCATGAGGCACATAGGAATATAGTTTTCTTTTGCTTTTTTACCCCATAATATTGGATTCCATTATTTCCTGTATTATTTTTTGTTTTCAACATCATTGCTCTCTGCTGTCACTTTCACTATTTCCTTATTTCAGCTTGCTTTGCGTTTAATTTGCTTTCATTTAATCTAGTTTCTTCTGAAACATTTATACTAAGATTTCTATTCTTTTGAACTTGTTGAAGTTCTGGAGCTAGCAGGTGGCATGGTGAGTGGACTCCCACATGGCCAACCAAAGTTCTAGTCCCAGACTTGGTGGCTTGAAAATCACACCAGGTGTGTGTGTGTGTTTCAAAGTCTCAGGAGGGTAATGAAGGAGAAGGGATTGTAGTGTGGCCATCCCTCTCGGAGGTAATTTCTCACCTTCTCGCTCTGGTGAACCCGAGCGCCCTATGAAGGAAAAATAAAAACACTTAGAAATCAAACCTTGTTGAAATTCCTATCTTGATTATTATTCCATATATACTTGGGTACAGTGCTATTGTTGAGTGTAGTGTCCTATAAATATCAAGTGAGTCAGTTTATTGTATTCTTCAGGCTACCCACATTATTATAGATGTTATTCCTATTGGCTGTTTTTTAAAAATTGTCAATTTTAATTTCTTTATTTTTTAAAAAAATTTTATTTAACTTTATTTATTTATTTAAATTTGACCAGAGAGGGAAAAGAGTGAGAGAGAAAGAGGGGAAACATGAGAAAGCAAGCCACCAGGTCAGGGACTTGAACTGTAGTCAGACACATGAGAGTCTAGCACCCTTAACCACCATGCCATCTGCCAGCTCCCCTATTGACTTTTTAATCACTAATAGGAATGTTGAAATCTCTAAACATGTTTTGGATCTGTCTTTTTCTCTCAGATAACAGTTTTTTCTCTCACGAAACTCTGTTTATGCCTGTATTCTTTTTTTTTTAATTTTATTTATTCATTTACTTATTTTATTTTGACCAGAGAGAGACACACAGAGAAAGTGAGAAAGCAAGCCACCAGGTCCAGGACTTGAACCACGTTCAGCCATGTGGGAATGTCCAGCACCTTAACCACCACACCACCTGCTAGTCCCTATGCCTATATTCTTAAGATTTTTTTTCAATTTCATAAAACTGAGCTCTTCGTTTTTGTGGATTATTTTCTTACTTTTTAATGATCTCCCTTATCCCTAAGGCTACTATATCTGAAGTTAAGGTTGCTACAACATTCTAGTTTAGGGTTTATGCAGCATTTTTCTTATGCTTTTACCTTTTTTTTATCTTTTTTTTTTTTTTTGGAGAGATTTTCACTGTAGGGCGCGTGCGCTCGCCAGACAGACAGAGACATAGAGACAGAAAGCGAGAAATCACCCCCCAGGGGGATGGTCATGCCGCAATCCCTTCTCCTCCATTCTCCTCTTGGGATCTTGGGCACGCACGCACATGCGCCCGGCGTGAGTTTTAAGCCACCGGGTCCGGGACACGAACCGCGGTCGACTACGTGGGAGTCCAGCGACATAGCCATTATGCTAACTGCTGGTTCCCTATGCTTTTACTTTTGATCTAAGTCATTAAATTTAAAGTCATTGTTTTGCAAGCAGCATATGGTTTCATGTTATATTCTGTGGATTCTAACAATCTCAGTCTTTCAGTACGTTTAGCTCATTCACACTTGAGGTGATTTTTTTTTTTTGAGAGGTTTTTGGTATAGGGTGTGTGCACTCACCAGAAAGACAGAGAGAGACAGAGAGACAGAAAATGAGAAATCATCCTGCAAGGGGGATAGCCACACTACAATTCCTTCTCCCCCATCCTCCTCTCGGGATCTTGGGCATGCACGCACACATGCCTGGCATGAGTTTAAGCCACCGGGTCTAGGACTTGAACCACGGTCGACTACATGGGAGTCCAGCGACATAGCCATTACACCAACTGCTGGTCCTGCTTGAGGTGATTTTTGAATAAAACTTTTAATTAAACTAAGCTCTATCTTTCTAGAACAAGAACTCCTTTTACAGAATTTTCCTGAGTCTTACTTTCTTGTTTAAGTGGTCAGAATGATAGCATAGGCTTTCTGCTAACTTGGGGTGGGGGGTGGGGAGGCTGGGAAAAACTTAGTAGCTTTGAACAAAAGCTACCCTCAGTAGGTAGGAATGAGCCTGGGATCTGTGATTTCTATGTCCTTATAGAAGAGAGAACATAGATGAAAACTATTGGATTCCTACTAGGGAGCTGAAAAGTGGCACTGCCTGCCAAGGATAGCGAGAAATAAGGAATGGTGTTATCTATAGTATTATCTTTGTGCCTTGCTATCCTATTTCCGCCATATCCAGAACATAACCTGACCTGTCTCAGTGCATGAGTATATTAGCGAGGGAAGTCCTGAGCTCACCTCACATGACCAGGGTAAAGACTGACACTATGACCCTTTCCTTTTCTTTTCTCAGAAACATGGATGGTGCTATCATGCAGCATTCCCCCAGGGAGCCTACCTGCTCCATCTGTCAGGATTATTTCACAGACCCTTTCACCCTTGGCTGTGGGCACAGATTTTGTAGTCCCTGCATCTGCCTCAGGTGGGAAGAGGCCCAGACTCCTGCTTGCTGCCCTGTCTGTGGGGCAGTAGCACCACAGATGGACTTCAAAAACACGATTTTCGCTAGTAAGAAAGTTCCTCTTACTGTAGGACCCATCTTTTACCAGTTATTAAGCTCTGACATGCAGATCTGTGGGAGACACCAGGAAATCAAGAACCTCATCTGTGGAGCTGATAGGAGCCTGCTGTGTTTGCTCTGTACTCAGTCCCCAGAGCATGCCAATCACAGACACTGTCCAATACAGAAGGCTGCTGAATACCACAGGGTAAGTAATACCACCTGACATACTTTGGAATGTGGAGTAACCAAGAATTGACAGGTAATGAGGAAAGACATGTGGATATTGTTAATATTATCTTACGAAATAAATACAATGACAGCACCATGTATTAGATGCTGCTCTAAAGACTAATGATAAAGCACTGAAGAAACCAGACAAACATACCTATGTACACAGAGTTAAATTCTGTTGGATGGAAAGATGGGGATGATGATGAAGTTGATGAGAATTAGGGTTCTCACATTTTAGTGTAAGTAACAGTGGATAAGCAGCTGGTAGTCCTGACAGCCACTGGCTAACACAGCCATGATTACAATGAGCATATTTTAATAATAGATTAGAATTAGAAACACAGTGGGATCAGCAGATGGCATAATGATTATGTTGCTAGACTTCCACATAGTCAATGCAGTTTGAGTCCCAAACCCAGTGGCTTAAAACTCAAGCCAGGTGCATGTGCATGCATGACCAAGATCCTAAGAGGAGAATAGAGGAGAAGGAATTGCAGTGTGGCCATCCCCCTGGGGGGCGATTTCTCACTTTCTGTCTCTCTGTCTCTCAGGCAAGCACATGTACCCAATTTAAAAAAAAAAAAAATCTCTCTTTCTTAAAAAAAAAAAAAATGGATTTAGAAACACTGACCAATACATTCCAACACATTAAGGGAAAACATTGCAAAATTAAATGTGAAGCAAGATTCACTTCTGAAAATTGACCACGCAGTTTCATTGCCAGGTGCCTCAGATAATAGATTCTATTTTCCAAATTCAGAAGTTCAGACTTAATCACTGTTCCCCAGGAAAACCCTGACATCTCTGCTCTCTGTAATATTTCTTTTTGTCTGCCTCTATCTCTTTTTGAACTATCTGACATATTCTATATTTGTTTCTCTAGTGCTCAGATTTATAATTCTTTTGTAGGAGAACCTCCTGATACAAATAAAGGCTATCTGGAAAACAAAACAGAAAAATCAACGAAATCTAAACAGAGAGACCAACATCATCAGAGCATGGGAGGTAAGTAGTAGACCCCGTTTCTCTCTAAACAAGACATACGGGTAATATACAGGGGAAGAGTTTGAACTGGAACATAATGTCCCATTAGTGGGATGATTTCAGAAACAGTTACCTATCTTCTCTCTACAACAACCTTCAGTGTAAGAGTTCATGTTGAATCCAATATGTAACCAAAGAATTTTTCCTTATTTTCTGGATAAAGCAATATGAGATAACTTTATGAAGTTTATCGAAAAAATAGAATTAAAATATGGGTTTATGTTTGTATAATTTTTTAAAAATTTATGCTGCTTTATTCATGATACACATTTTCCATGAACTTTTTGAAGACCCCTGCTTATCTACCAACAATACATCAGCAATGACTGGAAACGCATATCCCAGAATGAAAAGCAATGATTCTTAGGGTGATGGTAACAATGTGGTTCTATCGGAGCTTAGCAGAGGATGAATGTTAAGAAAAGTTTCATAAACAAGTAGAAATCAGTCTGTTGTTAGTAGGATTTGGAAATTCATGGGCAATGATGGTAGTAAGAGTTGGGGAATAAGAAAGCTAAAAACAAGAAAAGGCATGGAAATACTTGGACCTATAAGTAGCTCCTGCTGATTGATATATGAGGTACGTTGGGGCCAGGTGGCGGCATGATGGTTGAGGCACTGGACTTCCATATGGCCAACTGCGGTCACGTCCTGGTCCCGATGACTTAAAAACATGCAGAGCCTGTGTGTATGCGTATGTGCCCCAAATCCCAAAAGAATGTAGAAGGAACTGTATTGTGACCATCTTCCCTGGGAGTGATTTCTCACTTTCCCTCTTTCTCTCTTCAGTGCATGCATCCTAAGGCAAAAACCTAAAAAATCAAATTAACATGAGGCAGGCAGTAGTGAAAGTATGGCTAGAAATGTAACTATGGCTAATTTTGGATTTTGTTATTCATTGAATTCACAAGTATGAATCATGTACCAAAAACAAACGAATCATAAAAGGGTATAAATGATGCCAATCTGGGGAATGTATGCTGGTCCAACAGAATCCATTATTAGGTTACTTCTAGGCCAAAAAATATGAATGTGGTATGGAAATGATCCAGTGACTTTCTGGAAAGATATCTTTTAAGCGAAGGAAACATAGCTATAAATACAAGGAACAAGTAGATGTTGTGTCAAATGCTGAAGAAAGTTGAAACACTGAAGGAACTAGGCATATTGTTTGATTTTGAAAATAGAAGCTTTTGGTGCATTGCACTGTGTGGTTCAAGAAAGAGCAGCTGTAGAAGGGAGGGATTGATGGGCACAGAATGTCTGATCACGCTATTGGTCACATTTGATCGGTAAGTTGGGGGCTTCGATGCAGGTAAAACTTTTAGCAACAGCAGTTAGATGATGTCATTGAGACAAGAATATTGTGCTCTATTTGTTTTACAAAATTATTTGAAAATTTTTGCACATATTTAAAAACTTTGTAGACAGGAGGGAAGGCAGTGTGGAAAAGTAATTCAAAGAGAATAAGAGAGTGAGAGAGAAGAAACAGAAAGAAACAGTGTCAGAGAAAGAGAAGAAAGAAAAAAACAGAGATGGATCACAGAAGGAGAGAAACAGGAGAGACAAGAAGAGAGAGAGAGAGCTAGCATGAAATAAAGACAGAGATAGAAAGAGACAGGGGCAGGAGGAAATGCATATGGTAGTATAGCAATCTAGAGGAAGCATAGATAGGCATCATCTTGGGTGATAAGAGCCAGGCAGAACCAACCAGAGGTGATATTAAAAACATCTTGAAAATGAAGGTAATTTGGAAGTAAAGTGTCTGATGTCTTCTGATACTTTCCCAAAGAAGTACTTTTTTTCCTGAGAATGTACAGTCTATGAGTAGGAATGTTAAAGACAACGGATTATGACTTAGACTGAGTAATAAAAGAGGTTGGAGTATTACATAAAACAACATAAAAATCCATCTTACATTACTATTTTTACATGAAAGTATGGAATGAAGGAAAGTGCTAGAAATATGGTGTAGAAAGGTAAATAAAGAAGGAAGAAAAAATCAAAATGTATGGTTTCTTAAGAGTGAAAAGGTTAAACTTGTATTTTATATATCAGTTCACACACAAGACAAAACAGAGTAGACGAGAAAGGAAGAATGAAACCACCCAGGTACCTTCTCTAATGACACCAACACCACTGCAGGGTTTTGTCAACCTAAGGATGGTGATGATCAGGGCTGAATATCCTAAGGTGTTTCAGTATCTGCATGAAGAAAAACAAAAGCATCTAGAGGTCCTGGCTCATGAAGGCAAGGTGATTCTTCATCAACTCAAGAGAAGTGAAGCCAGAATGGCTCACATGGGCAAACTGCTGCAAGGACTGTATAAGGAACTGAAGGAGCTGTACCTTAAAGCAGACGTGGACCTGCTGCAGGTAAGGGCAGAGGAAGGAAGTCCATGTGCTAACAGCAGCCTGCTTGGGCCTCCTTTGTACCTGTGAGACTTTGTCCTCTTTGACTTGTTATTTTTCTTCTTCCAAAGTCAAGATTCTGCCTTTTATTACTTTGGGGTGGAAGGTTTTGCTCCTCTGGTATAAACTGTAGGTCCAGTCTCACCATTGTTTTACAGAGGGAAAAGAAAATTACACGGAAAGGGTTGAGTAACAGATCCAGGAAAATTCCCTTCTAAAATGTTCCTACTGTGCTTAGTTTCTTTCTTTCAGTGAAAGGGAAAATGAGAAGTCACCCCACAAGGGGGATGGCCATGCTACTTCAATCCTTTCCCCTCAATTTTCTTCCTGGAATTTTGTGCACACATGCACATGTGTCCAGTGTGATTTTCAAGCCTGGATCCAGGACTTGAACCATAGTTGGTCATGTGAGAATCTAGCACCTTTTGCATAGAAAAATAGGTCATGACTTTTCTGACAACCCAATAGATTTGTTAATATATGAAAATTTAGTAAAGTTATTTACTCTTTTGGTTTTGGAGTCCTGAATTTGGCACCCAAACACTCTTCTAAGGACTTTGGGGAGAATTTTGTCCATTCTGCTGTAGTCACACAGCCCAGGGTCTTCCTTTTCACGATCTATTTGTTCACCCTAAGATCTGACTTTATATTTATCAAGAGTATAATTTTATTAACTGTATATAAATGTGAGACTGAGTTTCATCTTTATAAGGATAAAGAAAACTACAAATCTCTTTACGCAAAGAAGGAAAGTGGAGATACTGAATTTCCCATACTGACAGACTACACTATTCAGGGAAGCCATCCTATGCTGAAAATTAAACCTTCTTCTCTCTCATTCCAGAATTTGGGAGACATAATGAAAAGGTAAGTAAGTTTACTTCTCTGTCTAGGACATGGTCATTGTGACAGCAATCAGGCTGTTTCTATGGCAATAGACCCTCTATGAGGTGCTTTTGTGTGTGTGTGTGTGTGTGTGTGTGATATTTATTTCTTCCTTCTCTAAAAGACATCCAGGCTTTATATTGATTACCCTCAGGTGAAAGTAAAGGATGGATTGTGGTTTTAAGTGCAAGACTTAATATAAAACTTGCAACAAGACAGCTATTATTTTCCTTCCTCTAATTTTAAAAATTATTTTTTTATTATTTTGAGATTTTTGCTATAGAGTGCATGTGCTCACCAGAGAGACAGAGAGAGAGAAAAATTGAGAAATCATTCCCTCCCCCCCCCCAGGAGGATGTCCCTGCCACAGTTCTTTCTCCTCCATTCTCCTCTCAAGATCTTGGGCATGCATGAACTTGCATCTGGTATGTTTTAAGTCACTGGGTCTGGGCCTCCAACCATGGTCAACTACATGGGAGTCTAGTGATATAACCATTATGCCATTTTCTGGTCTCCTAATTTTCAAAATTCTGATTACTTGAGGGGTGTTCCAGGTTTTCTATGGAAAAGGGAAATAATCTCAGAGATGCAAGGGGTAGAATGGTGGTGAGAAGAGAGGGAGAATTGACAAGAAGGAACATATTGGCTCATTGGAAAAGTCATGATGCATTTTTGCATAGAAAAACATAGAAAAATACATCATGACTATTCCATTAACCCAATATTATAGATCTGAAACTCCATATGTAGCAGGTGGCATGTTTCAAAAATTTGGTATTTGTTATACATTGAGAATTAAATGAGAATTGCTGTATGGTCCACCTACGGATGCTGGGTGAGTGGAACCTAACAGTTATGATTCTGAGGATGTATTCTACTGAGACTGAATTGTTAGGGATGGAGAGGCAGATTATAAAATATAGTGATAAAATACAGCATTTCTCAATTCATTGAGATGAATTCATACCCTGTAAACCTAATTGTGAACCCTCATCCATGGATTTCTAATGTGATTTTTGGGTCTCATGGTAAGTGGGTCTTTTTTTAGGATTGACCTAGTGCAGAGGTACATGCCCCAGCCCCTGAATCCGAAGCTCAGTGCATGGGCCATCACTGGGATGTCAGAAAGGCTTAACTCCTTCAGAGGTAAGAGACTACTACTGTGTGTGACAAGAATTCCTTGCTAGGGGTTGGCAGGTAGTGTGGTAGTTAAGGATGCTGGACTCCCACATGGCTGACCACGGTTTGAGTCCCAGACCTGGCAGCTTGCTTTCTCACTTTCCCTCCCTCTCTCACTCTGTCCCTCTCTGGTCAGATTAAAATAAGTGAATAAATAAAGTTAAATAAAATAATTTTAAAAATTTCTTGCTAAACTGTCGCCATACCACCAGTGACACACTCTGTCCACCACTTGTGCTGAAGTGATGGGGTGGGCCAGCTAGTATTAACATGTGGAAACTCTTTGTTAAATGCTTTGGGACAATTATTAAGTGGTTGATGTCTACAGTGAGGTGGAAATGTCTACAGCAAACAACTCAGACCAGTTATGTGGGTGTGTTTTTAGGGATTTAGTTGCTACACATTTGCTGGCTGCTCTAGCCGGTGTACCTCTACAACTTGAAACTGTGCTCTTTGACCTTGCTGTTTTCTTCATACCACAGTGTATATTACCTTGGATCGTAGGATAGGCAGTCATCACATGTCTCTGTTGGAAGACCTGAGACGTCTGCAGTACAGCCCTGACGATCCTGGCATGGCCTGTAATCCAGCGCCTTCAGAGTATGCTCCTTCATGGGGAGCGCAGCTCTTCACTGCTGGCAAGCATTACTGGGAGGTAGATGTGGGAAGCTCGTGCAACTGGGCTATAGGACTTTGTAAAGAATCCTGGACAGAGAGGAATGACATGCGACTTGACTCTGAGGATATCTTTCTACTTCTGTGTGTCCAAGTGGATGACCATTTCAGTCTCTTCTCTACCTCCCCACTATTACCCCACTATATTCAAAGACCTCGGGGCTGGGTAGGGGTATTTGTGGATTACGAATGTGGTACAGTGAGCTTTGTTAATGTGGCCAAGAGTTCCCTCATTTGTAATTTCCTCTCACAAGTCTTTTATTTCCCTCTTAGACCTTTCATTTGCTGTAAACCCAAATGATTCAGGGACAGCTCACCAAACTATACAAGGTCTTGGGAATGCTAGTAGCTGAGGAGATTTCTTTAATGGGGACTATCAATTATAACTCATTGTCTTTAACCTCATTTTATCATAAGGAGATAGAGTCATTGTATGATTTTTTTAAAAGTGTTGATAAGGTAAAGTATATGCAATGTCTTTTGTGTTTTAAATAAAATATATCTCTTTTATTAAAGTGTGTAGAATGCTTTCTTTTTTCCCCCTAGATTTTTTGCCATAGGACACATGTACTCATAGAGAATGACAGACAGAAGGAAAGTGAGAAATCACTCCCTGGGGCATGACCAAGACACAATTCTTTTTCTTCCATTCTCTTCTCAGGATTTTGGGTACACATGCACACACTTCTGACATGATTTTCAAACTGCCAGGTCTGGGACTTGAACCACAGGGTCAGCCATATGGGATCCAGCACCTTCACCACCACACTATCTGCTGCCCAGATGCAGTCTCTTTTATCTTACTCCTTGAGCTAACTTGAGGTGAAAGACTGTTTAGGTGTGGAAACCTGGGGAAATGGGTTAAGGGGAATCTCTTTCCTGACTCCCCTTATCAAATTTTAGTGTCAGCCTAGAGTTTTCTTCTCCCTTCATTCAGCTAGCTACATCCTACTCCTCCATCACTTTCCAGCTTTCTGAACTTAGAAGGTTTCATTGTATATGTGACCTCAAGAATATAATCACTAATTAGGTCAATCCAGAATGTCCTGATATGTTCTTCTATGCAAAAATACATCGACTTTCCCATCAACCCAATATATTTTCACTTTGTAAGACTCGTTTTAGAAGTTAAGGTCTCATTGGAGATTTTTTTAAAATGTCAAAGATTACTATGGGTGGTTTTGGAACACAAGAACAAGAGGCTCAAAAACCTGGCATCCTTGATGATTTAAGGACTGGGTTACAGCCATCTGATAAAAACAAAAATCTAAAATGACAGGTTACTTGCTGGAAAGCTTTTGATGAACCTCAGATTAGCTACAGGGATTTCTCTACTAAATGACTTATTCGTGTTTGACTATATCATAGTTCGTGTTATTTTTTTGAAACTGGTTTCTCCTCCTCTGTGTTTAAAAATTTTACTTGTAAAAACCTTTCCAACTAGTAATAATTTCCAAAACATATGAGACTATAGGGAAAAGCTTAATGAAATGCTGAAGTAATTGGATTTATTAATATTTTAAAATATTACTTAATATTTTTAGGTATGCCTATGCATAGATACAGCGTTGACAGAAAGATATCTAGGGCCCAGTAGGTAGCATGGAGATTAAAGCAGCGGGATCCCACTTGGTCAAATGAGCGGTTTGAGTCCCGGACCCAACAGCTTGAAAATCATGCTGTATGCCTGAAATCACAAGAGGATAATGAATGAAAAGGGACTGTGTTGTGGTCATCCACCCACCTTGGGGGATGATTTCTTACTTATCTCTCTGTCTTTGTCTCTGTCTTTCTGGCAAGTTCACATGTCCTATAACAAAAACTGACATGTAAATTGGATAACTAGGTCTGCCTTTTGGTACAAATTTTGTGTTCCTGCATTAGAACATGACATATAAGTCACAGCTACATAATTTTGTAACCGACAAGATCACAGACCATAAGCAACCATGGAATATATCCTAGATAATGAGCTGCAAAAGACGTATTCATCAAAATAAAATTGGACCAACAAAATTTTTCATTTCACACAATCTTCATATATATTAACAACAAAATAAGGTTATATAAAAGTGGATTTTTTTTTTTTGGAGAGATTTTTGCTATAGGGTGCATGCGCTTGCCAGACAGACAGAGAGAGACAGAGAGAGACAGAAAGCGAGAAGTCACCCCCCCGGGGGATGGCCATGCTGCAATCCCTCCTCCTCCAGTCTCCTCTTGGGATCTTGGGCGCGCACGCACAAGCGCCTGGTGTGAGTCTAAGCCACCAGGTCCAGGACTCGAACCGTGGTCGGCTACATGGGAGTTCAGCGTCATAGCTATTACGCTAACTGCTAGTCCCAATATGAGGGAACTCTTAGCAACATTCAGAAAACTCACACTTCTGCCTTCAAAATTAAGGAATACATCAATCTGGCCCATGGGTTTCTCTATATTATGATTCATTATTAAGGCAGTGGTCAAGATACTATAGTGATTATCCCTTTTCACACATGAAAGAACTGTCGGGAACCAGCAGTTAGCGTAATGGCTATGTTGCTGGACTCCCACGTAGTTGACCGCGGTTCGCATCCCGGACCCAGTGGCTTAAAACTCACGCCAGGCGCGTGTACGTGCGTGCCCAAGATCCTGAGAGGAGAATGGAGGAGAAGGGATTGTGGCGTGACCATCCCCCCTGGGAGGTGATTTCTTGCTTTCTGTCTCTAATGTCTCTTTCTGGCTGGCTGGCGAGCACACGCCCTATAGCGAAAATCTCTCCAAAAAAAAAAAAAACCTGTCATTTGTTCAAGCACGAGTCAATTTTCCCCATACAGGAATCCTTACAGACCCCTAGAACCCAGTTGTGTTTCTCAGAGTTGAATCCCTGGGTACCCTACTTGGTAAAGTAGTGGGATTCGTCAGAATTCACAGATGCACCTTGATGGTCACGTCTAAGCCACCGTCTTACGTCATCACACAGCCTGATATTGTGATTGGTTATTTCATTACTGAAGGAAACCTGCACTCGGAGGTGCTTGAGGGTGCCCGTCAATCCAGTGATGACTCTGTCCTAAGCTCTGGGTTCACAGGCTGGAGCGCTTGCAATTGCACAGACTCAGTCCTTATCGTCGTCTCCCAAAATTCTGCGCCAGCTCCATGTCTCGTTTTTGGTACCCCTAAGTTTCTCATACATTTCCTTGAGGTGTTTCTTCTTTTGTACCAGTTTGGTTTCACTTATCTTCAGTTACAGTAAAATCTCCAGGCGTTCCTTTTCCAGTCTCTCCAAATGTTCTTCCTTAAAGAGGACTCCATGCAGGTTTCTATACTCAGCCCTGTTCCTCTCTGCCACGTAAGTATCCTTCATCATCTCTGTCTGCTGATACACATAGCTCTTCACGGACAGGAATTTCCTAGATTTCCCAGGCTGCCTTTATCCTCCTGCATGTAAACCACATCTATTCTCTCTCTGACTCCGTTCTCTACTAATCAGCTACATTCCTCCCACTTCATGCTCTCCGTCTCAGACTCCACAAATTCATTCCGCTTCCTCATTTAGTTTCCATTCTTTATGAACTATATGAAAAGCCAAACAAGTCCTTTTCTCAATATTTATCTAATATGTAAATTTCTGAAACACCTGCAGAAAAGCCTTTCAGTTTTAACTTCTTCAATATATATTGTCTCGAATTTATTTTCTAAAAACGACACATATGAGATTGATTATTAAGTCATTGTATGTAATATATTCTGGTCTTTTTACTAAGTTTTTAGTCTTAAAACATATTCTTTCACAGTTCGAATTAGTCTTACCAGATACATTGGATATTATATGTTCTGTCGGGTCATTGGGAAAGACAGGATGCATTTTTGCATGGGAAAATACATCATGACTTTTCTGACAACCCATAGATTAGCAGCCACCAGATAAGATTTTCCTAACATTTCTAAATTTAAGCCCTCAGAATGATTCTTATCTTTGTGCTCCCTAAGCCACAGGCCTCCATTTTAAGAATGTTAATTCTCATTCTCTTACATATCTCCCCTAAAATCTTTATCTATTTGTTCTTTCAGTCCTCTTTGTCTCCCTCGCCCCCTTTTCTTCAGCTTTTTACCATTTTAAAATTTCTCCTGGTTGAACCAATAAATGTCTACATTCTGTGCTATCATCGTCACCATCACAGTTACGATTCTTAAATTATGGTTCATAGCCTCCTTTCTTCTTGCCGTCATGATTTAAGCTTTACAACACCTTCAGTTCCCAATCGTATACTTGTCTTGTACTTAATGAAAATGTTTCTAGCATGTCTTTCTTCAGCTAATTCTCAGTGACTCTTGGTCTCATACTTACCATCAACTGGCTAGATTTTCTTCCCTCCTTATTTATATTTTTCTAGTTTTCTTGGCTCTTTTCCCATAAAGATCTCATTTGCTTTAAGAGCTTCTCCTGGAAAATAACTATGAATTACGCACCAGAAAAGCAAATAATATAGATTTCAGACCCTACCTAGCAAAGAGAGACAAAAGAGGTTAAATATAAGTACATTAGAAGAGTGGAACAATCAAAATGTTTCATGGTTTCTTCTCAGGGAAACCGATAAAGGAAGATTTTATATAATATGGTTAATTTTCAAACAAATACAGTGCCTTAAAAATCTAGGTTTGATTTTGAGAAGATCTGATGCTAGTTCCCTAGTTCTAATATACTATATCCCTGCTTATTTGTACACCGTATTAAATGTTTCCAATATAAAAGCCTCTTTGCACTTATAGTTTTGAGGTTCTACAGTGCCTTATGTATTAAGACTTATAGTCAAGTTATTTCCGGCCAACTAAGTCTGTTTACTGCTTCTTGAGGTCAATAAAACTGAAAAGAGAGGCAGAGGATGGAGAAGAAAGGAGTTCATTTCTCTAACTGGTTACAGGAAGATGGTCAACAAGCACCACCAAACTGTCCCCAAACTCTCAACATTTTCTCAGTATTTATGTATACAAAATACAAGAACATGCAAATCGCTGCTCAGAACAAGCAATTAAAGTCAATTGCTTTCCCTGAGTAATTATCCTGATTTCTTCAAATACCCACATTTGATTTCTCATTTGACTATTCTTTAAACAGACCTCCCCATGACTCAGAACTTGGTCAGGTTGTTCTCATTAAAGACTTTTCTTAATTTCAAGATGGCTGCAGTCCTACTAAACCTTAAGAGGGCCTGCTTCAAAATAATAACAACCATTATGTTAATAGCCTCTTGTTGAATGTGAGCTCCATGAAGGCAAGTATATTTATGTATTTTATTCACAGCTATGTTATTTGTGCCTAGAAATTTCAGCAAAAAATGGAGTAATCATCATTATGGATCCTCACCTTCTAATCTCTTCACTCTGTTCTCTTCCAGCCTTTTTTTTTTTTTTCTTTTTAAAATGCCCTGTGAG